AGCAGTATGCTCCTGCAAAAAATGAACTAAAGTTAGATAAAAATCATGCATAAATAATCTTGTTATAGTTTAAATACCTTAATGAGACTATGCCTAGAGATATGAAGATCTCTGTGAAGAGAACAGGGAAAGTCTGGAAGAAGTCTTAATTTTAATCCTTGGACTCCTGATATACACAGTTGTGGTGAGAACACATGAAGCATGAAAAAAAAAAAAAAACAGAAGAGAGCTAAAGACTAAGCCAAGTCTTTATATTTGATCTTTAGTTGATTAGTTTCAATTATCCGTCTTTTTCAAGTCATTGAGCTTTTTCTTGGAGAACAACTCTGACCTCAGAACCAAAAGTTACAAAACAGCTGCTAAGTTTAGACAGTGGGACCTTACTTGCTTGCTACTTTTAACCCTTCTCCCCTACCTCTTTCCTTCTACCACTTCCGCCTGTCATCCATGTATGGCCCCTTAAGGGAATCTGCTGAGCACTAATCAGTTAACTTTCTTGTTTTATAGGTAAGGAGATGATAGGGTTGAGTGCTGTTGGACTCACCTGCATCATAGGTAGGCAGTTGTTCAGCTGGGAATTGAGCCCAGATCGTGTGCTGTTAAATCTGTACTTTCTATTATCTTGTAGACCATGGATACTTACTTAAAATAATGATGTTATGTACTTCATAGTTTTTGAAAGGGTTTTCCACATACATGCTTTCACTTGATTTTCATTCTGGCAGTGTGGAGTACTAGAATAGCAGTAGTGTTTATTGAGGTCATAACCTAGGTGCTAGGGATGGGGGTACTTTTACATACATGAATTCACTCTTTATCCTTTTTAAAACTAAGTTTTTGAGGCCCATATTGATTTCTCTGTTAATGCTCCTAGATGAGGAGAGGTTGGTAGGTTATTGTAGGTTGTGCATTACAATTTTAAAAACCCTTATCACTTTCCCCAAGGTCACCAGGCAGTAGGGAATAAGCTTGACAACCCAGTCTGCAAGAGTTCCCTCTGAAAAGAAGATGGTGATTTTTATTTTCCAGTCTAGCTTGATAGTTGGATAGCTTGTTCATACAGGGCAGTCTCTTAGGAATGGGCTGAGTAAAGAGGACACATTGCAACTCAAAAGCTTGCTTGGAACAGAGAGGATGGAATATTTTTGTCATGTGTTTGTGTCCTGATCATTATCCTCCTCCCTTTTACGGAAGTCGTATTTGAAGAATCAGTCATCTAGAGAGGTTTTCCTTGGATATGGCTGCAGAGGCACTGCCAGAGCAGCTTTATTTTTTGTTGATCCTTACTAGTTAGCAGCCTTAACATCATGACACATCACAGTTTCCCAGAATAGTTTTACGTTAGCTCCTTCCTTATTTCACAGTCTAAGCAACTCTCCAAATGACTTGTAATTAATTCCATCTGCTGTGTGTTTTTCGTTTGAATGAAAAGTACATTACTTGCCAATTTTGTCTACTACTTTGAGAGGAGGTATCTGTGATAGTGCTATTAGGCCAGATTTTGATTGAATTTTTGAAAAGATGTTTTAAAATGAGAAATAAAAGAGGAGATGAAATAGGGAGGTATGGTGGTGCATACCTGTAATCCCAGCACTTGGGAGGCTGAGGGTGGACGATTGTCATGAGTTTGAGGCCAGCTTGTACTACATGGTGAATTCAAGACCAGCCTGAACTTTACAGCAAGATTCTGTCTTAATAAATAAGATGAAATATTCAGGGCACCTTCTCAGATATTTATGTATTGGGCCACAGTATTTTTGGGGCACATTTCTGTTGCTGCCACGTTTTATACTTTACATGTAAGTTTACTGCCCTTAAGTATGTTTGGATTGCCTATCATATAAAAGATTAATGAGAATTTATATGTAGCATATTTTTAGTGTTTCCATTAGTAGTTTGAGTATCTAAAAGATGAGTTGGGGTCTTAATGAAGTATATGAATAGTGTGTATGAACAGAAGTATTGATAAACGTGTGTTGTGTGCTTCCTGTCACTGCAACTTCTTTTTATTTGGCTTTATAGTAGAGGTTACCAGGTAGCTTTTTTTGCTGCACACCATGTTGATCTGCTGTTACTATTTCCCAGCATTGTGTAGTTTGTTTTGTGTTCCAGGATGCTTCCATCCTAACTTGCTGAAACTCTTTCCCTTGAGTTCATTTTGTAAGGTATTTCCTTACCTCATGTTCATTTTCTTTTAGGTTGAAAAATTTTGGAACTCTTTTGAACAAGGAACATGGTTATTTAAGTGTTAAATTTAGTATCTTCTGTCTCTGTAGGTCTGTGATTTTGTGGTTCTGCTGGTTCTCATTTGTGTAGTCTTATTGTTGATGTGCAAGAGACATTAAATTTGCAAAACTGCTTGTAGAAGTATGTGAAATTTAGGCTGTTGTTATCATCCTCTGTGGTGGGTTTATATTTGCATCCAGTGGGTGTTTTGGGCTCTAGCAGTCCAGGATCAGCTTCATCTGCTTTCACAAAATGAAAATAAATAATACAGAATTCAATTTCTGCAAATTTGGGCCTATTTACTTCCAGTTTATTCTTTCTTTTGTGGTCATAATCCTAGGTGTATCCTTTGGAAGGCTGTTGGACTACAGTTCCCATTGTTAGCGCTTTTTGTCCAAACCATCCTTAGTCTCTCAGCTACTCCTCTAAAACTGGCAGCTGCCCACAGAAGGAGAAGCAGTCTAATCTCATTGATGTGGCAGATGTCCTCTGTAGATTTTTGTCCTCTTCTGATTCCTGGCCACTAATTTTCACTATTTGATAGGCCTTGTATGCCTCAAATTTTTAAAAAACAATCTATTGTCCAGCATTCAACTTTCTAACTTCATTAAAACATTAGTAAGGATTTTCTTACCAGTTTTGGAACCTGCTGGATCTTAAATTAATAGGGGCCTCAAATGATTGAACAAATGAATTAAACTTTAAAGTGTATTTTATTCTTTGATTTCCCTTTATGTCACAGATTAATAGTTGTACTTAATTATTGTGAGTATGCACCCTTAACATATAACTCTCTCTCTTTATTTGTAAGAGCAGGTGTGTGGATCTAGACTTACGTGAAATCAAGAACTGTATATTAACACATTTTTTGTTCCTTAAGATTAGTGGTTGGACTATGGGAGCCACTTGAAAAGACAGGAAATACTTAACAGAAAGTAAAGCAGTTCCGGGACTTGGTAATGACCGTACACCCTTAACTAACCTATATCAAACTTGAAATCAAAATTCTCTCTGAAAGAGTTAATGAGCTAACCTCATATTTTCAGAGCACTTTTCATATTTCTCTAAAACATTTTGTCTATCTTCTGGAACTTAAACTCTTTGAGAAATTACTTTTGTGTTTCATTTAGGCATCTTTTAAGCATGGACAATATTGATTCATTATTAATATAAATACCAGCAAAGAGAAACCAAATCTTACAGTATCCCAAAAAAACGAGAGTTTGAAAGAAGATAGCTGCTGATGTGGGTGTTATATGTTAAGGTGTTAAGTAAAAGATTCTCATAAATCATATCAAAGGTAATTTGAGTTCAGTAATATATAAGGCTTTATAAACATTTGGTATAAAGCTATATAATTACCAGAAGAAAAAAATGTAAATGGAGGTTATTATTGTGTTAGATAAGGCATGTCCTAACATGTGATCATTTTGGTTAGAAGAATTTGCTATTTACAAGATATTTCATTTAGTGCCTATTTTGACTTAACAGATTTTTTTTATGTCTTGGGTAACACTAGTGCCACTGACACAAGAGATGAGCCATCATTTGGTCATCTTGGTGGTTTTACAGTTGGTTAAGCGTTGCCTTTAGAAGAATGCCTGTTTAACTAGGTTATTGTCAGTGATAATCTTGTTGGGTCGTATTCCATATGATGTATTAATTGACTTTTTTAGGGCTTTTTGCAGAATATTACACTATGAATACACCTTAAGTGTCCAGTATAGTGCTGGGGCTATAGCTCAGTGGCATAAGCGCTTGCCTGGCAAGCCTGAGGTCATGAGTTCGATTCCCAGAACCAAAAAACAAAACAAAAAAAAACATAGTGCAAATGTCCAGTATACAAGAAGAAAGTGAATTGAAAATGTATACTACAGGCCACCTGTGCTGCATGCCTATAATCCCAGCACTTGGGAGGCTGAGGCAGGAGGATCACACATGAGTTTGAGGCCACCCTGTACTACATAGTGAGTTCAAGGCCAGTAGTTCTGAACTAGTGCGACTGTGTCTTAAAAAAAAACAACAAAATAATATCTGTATTACAAGACAGTTAATTAAATGTTTTCTTAAGTTCTATTCCACTAATTAATGGTAACAAGTTGGTGTTGTGATCAACCCCTCAGCACTTGGGAGGCTAAGGCAGGAGGATTGCTGTGAGTTCAAGGCCAGCCTGGGCTACATAGTGAGTTCAAGGCCAGTTTAAACTCCATAGCAAGATCCTGTCTCAAAAAAAAACCCAAAATAAAAAAACTAATCAGTGGTAACAAGTAAGTGTGGCCCTGTTAGTTGATCATGATCTTTGTTTACATGCGTGGTAGGATTGCTGTTCAGGAATGCATAAATATTTTTTCCTGTTGAAATTTAAATTTCAAGTAGTTTAGCATGATATGTCTGTACAAGTATTTTTTGTTGTTGTTGTTTTTTTTTATTTGTTTGTTTGTTTTGTGCTGGGGAGCAAACCCAGAGCCTTGTAGATGTAAGGCAAGAGCTATCCTACTGAGGCACATCCCCAACTGAGGAGTGTGTTTTAAAAGGGATAAATTTCACTTGTAAAGCCTCCTGAGAACAGTACATTTTGGAAAAAAATATATATAGTACAGTACTGTGTTGTATGGTACATTTTGGAAAAGTGTATAGTACAATACTATAGTTTTGGCCTTCATTAATTGAACATTTGAATTCATTTTAATGTCTCATTTTCTTGATATTAAAGTAAAACATCACTAGGAGTGCATCTTGTTAGAAAACTGACCTATCTTTTTTCCCCAATACAGAAGCTCCACCATGAGGCGAGGTGGATGGAGGAAGCGAGCTGAAAATGACTGGGAAAAATGGGTGTGTTTTGAAGAAAATAATAATATCAGAATAGCTAGTTATTTCTCATTTTTCTTATAGTTTATGATGTGATTTAAGGCATAAATTGTAAATTACTGCATATACCAACTATGATTTATCACAGTGCATTGAAAACCTTTGCAGTATTGATAAAGCTAAACCTTTAAACTTTACCCAGGAATTTTATCTGGAGGAAGTAAGTATTCTGCACACAGAATTTAGTTTATGATGATTTTATTTCAGTATTGCTAATAGTAACTCCTAGGGAATAACTCACGAGGGCTAAGATGCAGATACGTACAAGTTGCCATAGTCTCCAAAAAGCATGTGAAGTCAAAAAATATCTCCAAAAATAGGAGATGTGATTTTACTTTTGTAAAACTTCTAGGATCTGAAGCATAAAAGTAAGGTTTGAAAATAACACCCCAAAATGTTAATGAAATTATACTAATTTTAGTATTTTTTATATCTTACATTTTCTAAAACTTTTTTTACATCTTAAGTTTCCTAAAACATTTTTTATTGTGAGCGTGTAATACTTTAATCAGCAAAAATGATGAAGTTGTTTCCATTTTGGAGAAAAAGTACTTCTAGACATCTGTACCTTCAAATTAAAGACCTTTTAGTTATGCTTATGCTCAATTACTTTGAGGCTCAGGAAAAGTAAGGCTGAATTCATAAATCTACCAAAGGTGTTTGGTGATTTTTTTTTTTAATATTCTTTTTGAGGTTGAAGTTACCTAATGAAAACTAGTACTGCTATCAGATAGACCGATAAGATCCAGAATGTAGCCATTGAATCATTCATTGTAGCCTTGCCTCATGCTGCTGGTTTGTCAGATTGCTCCCTTTAAGTTTTCTGTTTAGAAGAGAGGAAGCCTGACTAAAATGTGCTCTTAGACCACTTGTCACATTTCTGATTTAAACTTTGGTGTAACTTGATTATGTAAGAGCAGTATGTTATGATACTAATTTTTTATGATTGACTTAGCTTTTTCCTATTTGAAAGTAACTTAATAAAGAATATAATAAAATTATTGAAAATTGAGTTGACAGAAGTAAAAGTCTTGTATGTGTGTTTTATTGTCTTGCCTAGTTTGTGGCTCATGAAGAGATCATTTTTATTTTGACCACTAGTACAGAGTTAGGTCTTTTATTTATTTTTAAAATACTTTTTTTTTTTTAAGGGATGGGGAGAACATGTAACTTTTGTGATTGGTTTGCCTTTTCTTTAATTCTAGGGTGGGTATATGGCCGCCAAGGTCCAGAAATTGGAGGAACAATTCCGATCAGATGCTGCTCTGCAGAAGGATGGGACTTCATCTACAATATTTAGTGGAGTTGCCATCTATGTTAATGGATATACAGGTTGAGTACTTTTTCACTTTTTAGGTACCCTATTTTGGCATGCACTATTTTAGGATTGAGAGTGGTTTGTTTCAAGCTTCTGCTTTCAGTTATTTGCCATGTGTATATTTTAAAAATCAACCCTTGCTTAGATACTCCTCCACTCTTCCTTTCCATCCCACCTTCAGTTTTTATTTAAAGAATGTAGCCTAAAAAGTTAAAATGAACTTAAAAATAAAACCAGTAGAGGTCTTGTTTTAAGTAGCTGATTGGAAGGTAATTACACATGAAAATAGCTACACTGAGAGGGGGTATCATGAGGGCCATTTTCTTAGGAAATCTCCAGCTGTACTTGTCCATCTCCTGGGTGGGTGGGGTGTATGCATTCAGTTTCCCAGAGAAGAATCTGGTGAAGCGTTTAACTCTAGCTTCTAATGTTTTGATAACTAAAGGGAAAGGAATGAGCCAGAATTCTCACAGTTTAGGAGGCAGAATTTCACTTTTTTCTCCTATTCATTTTTCATTCCTTGCCCTACCTGCTACACCTGTTGTCGTTGAATCCCTTATCAGAAGAGGTAGTCTGCTTTTTTGAGTGGGGGAAGAAATCTAGGAATTCTAGTTTCTCTCTTATTAAACAGTTTCACTTGTGAACTTTCTGTTTTAAGATTTATGTACACAGTCACTTTGGGAGGTGCCCAGAGCTTCTGTTTCATGAATTTCTATTGATTTTATTGGCACCAAGCTGTATATTTCTGGGATTCCAAATAACCAATTTAGATTTATCTTTTTGATTTGTAAATTCAGTAACCACTTGGCTGTTGATACTGGATTTTACTCCTAAAGTGTTTGTTTTTGTTTTTCTTTTAATTCTCTTGGCGGGGGTTATGATCATTGTATTTTTTTTTTTTTTTTTTTTTTTTTAGTGTATGACTGTACACATTTGTGTCAGTCTGTTACACTATTTTTTCTCTTATTTCCGAACTGGCTGGTACCTGCTTATCCGTAAGGTCTTTGTCCGTATATTATTTCCCCTCAGTTGTCTCATTGTCTTCATTCTGGTTTAGGTGACTTCACATGCTTTTTGGAGACTGTGGTAACTTGTATGTATCTGCATCTTAGCCCTCGTGAGACCTTAGTCCCATGATCTTTTTACTAGGCAAAATCAGGAGCTTTATCATCTCTGTTGTATCCCTACTGCTTCTACACTGGCTGGACCTGACCATTCAGGAAATATTTGCTGAATTAATATTAAGTATTAATGAATTAATGTCTTTGGCTGATCTCATGAAGGTACAGCATATTGCTTATAACGAGTTTTGTTAGAAATCATTAACAATTTAGTCTTAATGATGTTAACCTCAAAATATGTTCTGGTGCGGCTTTGGGAAGTTCACATGTAGAAAGCTTTATACATTTTCTTATTAGATATTTCTTCTTGGCAAATTTCAGGTTGATAGACTTTGGTCCTGTTACTGTAAGATTGCTTGTTACATTATCCAGCCAGTTATGGAAGTCTTTAATGCACACCACCACCCTCAGTCACATAAGAGGAAGAAAAGAAGATTCTCTGTGAGAGGGAGAAAAAAGTAGTGCAATAATCATTTATTGATCGAGAATCTGGAATTTTCATTCCACTTTAGTGTGCAGTTCTTAAGGCATTTTCTGTTTGGAGCCATTCCAATCCTTTCTTTTTATTTAGGGTAAGAAGAATAATGGTTTGTTTACTTTTGGTGTTAATAGTATAAATCTACAAGTAAAGTTTTATTGTGCTAACTTTTACAGTAATGCACAAATTGTGATATAACTTTGTCTTTTAAAAACCTTTTCAGTTACAGTGAATACTTCACGATCTTACAGATCAGAATATGCTGTGTAGCAAATTAGAAAGGAGAGAATAATGCTTTCAGGACAAGTAAGACAAGTAAGGGATGTTGTTTTTGTTGATTCTTAGTCATGCTCTCCACAGACCTTAACTAACATTCCAAGATTTCTTGATTCCCTTAATAATGGTCCCAGTTGTGCCATTTATGTCATCCCTTCTGATCTAGTTAGCATTGAATCTGCATTTATATGGCACATACCCTGCCTCTGCCAGCCCATTCTCCCCTCCCCCTTGAAGGTTTTTTTTTCTGCTGTAATACTAACATCTATACCTTGCATCCTTTTTCTTTTTTTTTTAAATAGTTAAAACTTTTTTTGGAAGTAACTGTAGATTCACATGGATTGTAAGAAATAATGTAGCGATATCATGAACTCTTTACCCATTTTCCCACAGTGGTAACTTCTTACACACTAGAGGACAATATCACAACTAGGAAATGGACATTGATATAGTCAGGCTACAGAACATTTCCAACAATAATCCTTCACATCACCCTTTGGTAATCATACCTGTTTCCCTTCTCTTTGCTGCTTCTACCCCTGGAAGTCACTAACCTGATCTCCGTTTCTATAATTTGGTCGTTTCAAGAACGTTGTATAAGTAGAACATGCAACATTTTTTAGGGGGTTGGCTTTTTTTACTCAGTATAATTCTATAGAGATGTGATCAGAATTGTTTGTTATTACTAATTTTTTTCTCCATATTGCTGAATTGTGTTCCATAGTGTGATGTACCACATTTTGTTAACCATTTTCCTGTTAAAGGTTATCTGGGTTATTTTTTATATTTCACTATAAGTAATGTATACCAGTTTTTATGTGAGTATAAGAGTGCAAATAAATCCTAGGTCACTTGGTAGTTTTTTTTAAGAACCTGACAAATTTTCCTAAAGTGGCACTATTTTACAGTCTCAGTAATAGGGTGGTATATTACACTCTTTTTGTATCCTGGGCAACATTTATTTATCTGTCCATCCATCCATCTGTCCATCTATCTGTCTTGATAAAGATTTTACAACAGGTACAGCTCACTCCTCTCTAGGCCCACTACCATCAGGGAACCTCAGGTGTCTGGAGCTCTCCAAGCTGTGTATTTTAAGTTGTTATGGAGGCTCCGTGCTTGGGTATGATCACTAATAGACTGGTTGGGGAAGCGCGGTTGAGTTCTTTGTGGCATGTTTGAGCAGCATTCTTGGCTCTGGTATCTGGGACAGGACCCCTCTGGAATGAGGATCTTCTAACTCACTAATGGATTAGAGTAGGTCAGACAGTCTCTTTATGATTGCCAGAATTTAGTGTTTTTTATCTTACCATTTTAGTATGTAGTGGCATGTCATTGTGGGCTCAGTTAATATTCCAGTTGCTCTGCATCCTCAACCAGCATTTTGTAAGGCCAACTTTTATTTTTTTTGTTCAGGTATTTTAATATATGTATTGTATTACCTCAGTGTGGTTTTAATTTGCATTTGCCTTTGGGCTAATAATTTTGAACAAGCTTTCATGCTGTCTCTTTTTTTAGTGAAATATCTGTTTTTTTCTCTTTTCTAGTGAGGTACTTGGTTTGTTTTCTTCTTTCACTGCATGGGTTTGAGAGTTCTTATAAACAATATTCTTATTACAATTCCTTTCTTATATACGTGATTTGCAAATACTATATTTTGTCTTGACATGGTCTTTTGCAAAGCAAAAAATTTAACTTGTTCATTTTGATTGTATATATTGTGCTTTAATCTAAAAACCTATTGCTTAGTGCTAGATCCCCAAATTTTTCCCCTGTATTTTTCTAAGAAGTTTATAGTTCTGTGTTTTATTTTTATGAGCTACTTTGAGGTTTGGCTTGGCTTGGTTTGGGGGTTTTCTTGGCCTGTTTATGCCCACTTGCTCTAGAACCCTTTGTTGAAATGGCTGTCCTTTCCCCCTTGAATTATCTTTGTATGTTTGTGAAGAATTATTTGGGCATCATTGGTAACACCTTGCTAGCACTCTGATAGTAGGGACATTAAGCCTGTTAATTAATTTTGGGACAATTGACATCTTTATATGTTTTCTGTGAACGCTTTTCCCATTTTATTCTGCTATAGGTGATTGAACAGGTGTATTTTAGATGATGCTTGTGAGTTAGGGACAAGATAGTGATTGATAGAGAATGTGGATTTTGTGACAAATTTGAGGAAAATGGATTAGAAGAGAGCTAACATCTACCTGTGGGAGTTGGAGTGAATCTTCCATGAAAGATTTGAAAGTTCTAGCTTGGTCCTGAATAATTAGGCATTTTTAAAATGAAAATGGATAAAAGCATTCTAGTCCTAACCTGCATTTTTGTCCTCACATTTTCTAATTTTGGTCAGTAAGTTTACTCTTGATTTTCTAGACTTATCTTTTATACTTTGGAAATGTGTTTCTGTTTGTTCTTTGCCTCTGGTGGAAAGTTTCTTTCCTTCCTCCTTCTGACTACTGGTACTGGTTTATCCATGAAAACAGAGGTCAGAGGAGATTTTAGCTGCTTTGTAAGCCAGGCAATCATGTTTAAATATCATAGCATTGCTGGACATGGTGGCATGTGCTTATTGTCCCAGAACTCTGGGAGCCTGAGGCAGGAGGATCCCACATTCAGGCCTATCCTGGGCAATTTAGCATCCTGGCAAGACCCTGTCTCAAAATAATAAACAGGAAGGACTGCAGGTTTAGCTCAGTGTGAATGCCCTGGGTTCAGCTCCCAGTACCAAATTAATCAACTAATTATTTAATTTTGAAACCTGAATTTTGTCTTGTATTGCCAAGTTTTGTTTACATATTGTTTGGAGATATGGGCGTTAAATTTGCTATTCCTTTTGCTTCCTCAGGATTTTACCATATAATCTCTGTTAATTGTAACCTATTCAAAGAAACCCTTTCTGTCTATATCTAAAACAGATGTTCTTTGCCCTACAGTTGCTCTCTAACCCCTAATCTAGCTTTATTTTTTTCTTCATACCATACAAAAATAATTGACAGGTATTTATTTCTGGTATAAAATACCTTTTATACCAGAACTGATAGTTACTTGACTTAGTATTTTCTGTCTGCCTAGTGGAAAATAAACTATGGAGCATAAACTTGAGTCTTGTTCATTTCCAAATCCCAATGCCTAGAAACGTACC